GGGGGAAAGCTTCAAAAAGGATTTTTCCTTTATGAAAAATACATTTAAACCTTAGGTATACCAATTTTTGGAGGCACCTAATTAAAATGATTAAGAAAATCGGAGAGACAGTTATTAAGTTTTGAAAGAATTAAAAAAAAATCTGAAAAAATTCCAACAATTTTTGATTTATTATTGAAAATTACATTTAAAAACCCAGATTCCGTAATTGTGGAAAATTTGTTCCTCTAGGTACTGAGTCTTCTTTGCAGAAGAGTTATTATTAATCCATGCTTTGTGTGAGGTGTGCATTTGCTCTATGAGTAGGTGGACTTCAGTGTTTCTTTTATCAAACCAGTCCTGGTATTTCCGAACTGGCAGTCCAAGCACCTCCAAGGAAGCGGTTATGCATTGTATCTTGAAATGTTTTCCATGATGATTTAATATCATTAGTAATAAACTTGAGGGCATTGAGAGCAGCGTCCAGCTTGCTACAGAGCTCACTTTGTTTTTCTAATGATTTTAAAGCCATGGTATTCATCTGCTTAGGCGCAGATATCTTCTGCAGTCTCAAAATAGAAAGGAGGCACGGGGCCATTGGAATTCATGTGTCCAATACCATGATTCTCGAGCACACTTGATGACCGTTACCCACCAGAGCATTGAAGTCTCTCATTACGATAAGTTTATCACTATGTTGGACATGGGAGATGATATTACGGAGGTTGTTGTAGAAGCTGCAAAAAATGAATCAATGTGATTACAAAATAAGGATAGATGAGACTTCCTAATCACCTTTATGACATTTTTTCAAGTGGTCAACAGCTTCATTCCTCTGATGAGGGCAGATGAGCTACATCTCGGTAGCCAGCTTATGAATAATGGTCAGAAGATGATCCAGGACTCACCAACATCACTTTTTACCTCTGATGAAAATCATAGGTTGGATGTGCAGGTGGTGTAATGGATACTAAATAAGAATGAAATATCAGAGAACCAAGTTTGAATTTCAATTGCGTTCATTACATTCATTTATACTTAAATACACTGAGGAAAGATATGAATCCATTTCTTCTCCCCAAGCTATGGGTTAAACAACAGGGCTGACGAGGCTCTCTAGCCATGGTTGGCAATCATTATAGGAAGATAATTCAATACAAAAGCATTAAAATGAGGATAGGAAGAAGCAAGATATATATATATATATATATATATATATATATATATATATATATATATATATATATAAAAGGTTATAAATAATTCCAACGAGAGAAAAGTATATATTAAAAAGAAGAGAGAAACTACAAACGTTTTTGGTTGTAATGTGGATTTTTAAAAAAAATATTATGCTTTATTTTCCATATATATATATATATAATATATATATATAAGAGAGAGAGGTTTGTATTAAAGAGCTGGTTCAATTACCTACTTTTCAAAAAACCAGCAGTTAGAAAATGCTCAATGAAAACAGACCCAATTTTTTAAAATTTTATTTTTATATGTCAAGTTTGTAAAGCTTTAATATTTTAGCATTTTCAATTTACTTTCTAAAGATTTTAGCACTTTTTATTCTGGTACTAACAAGTTTTAATGATGATAAATAAGACAGATATTATTATTTTGTGGGATGCTTCTGGTACAATGGTGAAGAAAGTTAGTTTGGCGCTGTGACTTCCTGTTAGAATATTCAGCAAGAAAGCATCTCCTAAAGTTAAATTTAAGCCAGGATATTAAATGTTACCTTTTATAAAATTTCATTAGCTAAATAGGCTCTAAACCAGTGATTCTCAAATGGTGTGGTGGAAGAGGATAGCAGATGAGGCGAAATGATTGAAAAAAACAAAGATTTAGAAAATTTCAAAAAATTCATATGCCAAAAATAAATATTTTAAAATTTAAAATATTATTATGGATTACTTGTAATTGCTTGCATGAATCCCAGTATAAATAGTTATAAATAATTATTTATTGATTTTATCATTGTGATATTTCTGCATTATATCAAGCATTAAGAATATAGTAAATACGGTCTGCAAATTGGAGGAGAGAGTTATCAATGATAATTTTCTGATTTCAAATCCACGGTTATCTCCCTTTAAACCTTTCTCAGTTTTTTATTTTTAAATGTACTTTATATCAGATAAAATTCAGTGATGCGTGAGCACATTTTCATTCTGAAAATGCTGCCCAGAGGAACCACTGTTCTTACCTATGGCTGTTAGAAAATATAATATAAAAATTTTTTCTGATTAAATAAAATGGAAAATTGCAACATAAAATAAAGAACGTTGAATTTGGCTTTTGTATAAAATAAGCTTTCTTTTCTCTCTCATGAACCAGTGATTTTTTTTTCTTCAACCTTCTCTGATAGAACCTGTAATACAATTGTTTCTACAGTTTGCCAATATTACAAGAGTGTTCCTCACAAACTCTTTTGACAGTTGCTTTCTTGTTAATTACTATAATTATCTATGAACAACTATTTTCAGCCATTGGCATCATAGTCTTTGAGATAGGAAAATAAGATAGGTTACTACTGCGCATACATGTTTATTTATTTACAGGGTCAGTAATATAAGTATTAATGTTATGTATGTTCAGAAGTATAAAGTTATTTTTTAAATAATAACTATCAAAATCAAATATTGAGATTGGAATATGTTACTGTGCCATCTTATTGTACCTCCTCTACTACCATGGCCTCCCTTATTCTAAAGGAATTTATTTTTCTTAATTATCTTTTCAATTACACCTACCTCACTATATCAATCATTTGATGAAGTTAAGCACAAACAATGATATTTGGTATCTTTTAAGTGCTGACAAATTCAAGAAAAGATCAATTCCAACTTTAGTCTAAAAAAAAAATAACAATGTTATAATAATTTGACGGTCTGTATTTATGGCTTCATAAATTTTTGCATCATCTTCCTAATATTTACTTTTTATGGCTTCTTTGTTAGTATGCAGGTTTCTGAATTAAAGTTAAAAAAAAAAGTTACTACAAGTTTTGAGATACATCTAACCTTTCTATGATGTTGTTGGTCAACTAAGAGTACTTGCTACTTTACATACCCATACAAGCTCACTTGCTCTGTTCAGATCCATTATGAGCCAGGGTGCTGGCAACTATTAGGTTCCCAACTAGGGGCAAATAGTGACCCCCTCCCCCCAAACACTATGAAAGTATAAAAATACCATCAATTTATGTAGTAAAATGACAAAGAGTACCTATTTATAGTAAAAGGATTAGAGAGGAGTGGCAAAACCTATGGAACTCCTACCCAAACAATAAACTGTTCAGAATTAAACCAGCTATAGGAGAATAGTATCAGAAACATCAAACTAGAAGAGAAGAAGTGATTATGTTCAGGCTCCATATTGGACATACTACAATAACCCATTAGTATAACCTAAAAAAAAAAAAAGATCTTCCAGTGTGTATGTGTGGTATGACAAGATCCATTCACCCTAAAACACATACTGATAAACTGCAGCAATATTTAGAAAAATATTAAATTTTAGCATTAAATAATCCATTGAGGTTGATATGCTGTAAAACAAACCAAACCAATTGCTCTGTTCAATTTGATTATAATATTAGTGGAGCCAAAAACTGTATTCATAAAGATAAAAAATTTGCTGAAAAAAAAAAATTGTATTTTACATTTATATGAAATGATTATTATTTATTTAAAATTAAAACTAAAAATCCATCTTTGCTGCCCCTGATTTTTTTTCTTAATCATTTCACCCCAAGTAAAGCCACTAAGATGCAATGAGTTACTGAATGTGAAAGAATATGAGAAAAAGAAAACCCTATTAAAGAGAGAGGACAATAAAAGAACAGGAATTACAAAGATTTAATTAGATTAATTGGATATTTTTGTTGGACTTTCTTAATTAACTTTCTTAATTGAGCCTCAAGCACATATGAGTGAGAGGATGGTATTAGAAAATTCTTGAATTAGGATCTTGTGGAATCAATTATAAATGGATTCCTGTCATGTGATAGTTGATGGATTGTTTGGAACTGATCTTCATGGGTGAGTTTACTAATATTTTTCACGTTTTCTAATGTTTTCCTGGTGATTGGTTACCTTGAATGCTTGTCATTTTGAACTGACATTTGACTAGCTTTACAATGTGTTTGTCACTCAAAAAAAAAAAAATCATGTATTCCATCAAAAGAATGTTTGCCATAAGCTTGACAAAGCATTTTAATTTCAAAGTAGATCTATTGAGTTTTATGGAAAATTAGTTACAATTGTGTTGCTTAGATTTGTAAATAATCTCAAAAGATTGTAGAACTGTTCCAATTGAAAATGAGTTGGTAGACTGACTTAGTAGGCTTGGGAATAATGAATGTTAGCACGTATTTCCACTGAATGGTAGAAGTATAGTACGTATAGTTCAGATCCTTTCTGATCCACTGTCATTCAGTTAAGTGTCATGATATATGCTTGGGTGATCATATCTCTTTTGATTTATGACTGACTAGGCAGAAGATTTTCCTGCAGTAGGTTGCAGTTTCTTTCTACGGTAGACTGGTTGCCAACCGACGCTTTTGGGTTCAGTCTGTCCTGTTATTTAACCCATAACTGGTGGGACAAGCAAATGTAACAAACCCAACTGGAATTTTAACTCAATTCTTTGATTTCTCATTCCAAGTTGATATCCCTGTCACCACAATGTGCATCCAATACAAATCATACTTGCCTTTATTTTATGGGATTTTCACTTTGTCATAATTTTCTTTAGGTTAAAAGAAAATATTTGTTAAATTTAAAAAGTGAAGGAGTGAATTGTATTAGTACAAATAATTGTGATTTTTCACCTGAGAACTTAAAAAGACGGAAAAAAAGAAAGGCTGGTCTAAACATATTCATCAGCTTCGTATGTGAATGAATTTCTTTAAATTCTATCTCCCGAGCAAAGAGTCATTTTTAATTTTCAAGCTTATTTGTGTCCGCCATGTTTAAGATTTTTGTAAACATTTTTGTTTTTATTTGCAGATGGCATCCTCCAGACAGATTCAGGTGATGAAGCTGAGGGTGATGGAAAAGTTAGATGACATCTTCTCACAACAAAAAACCATTATTGCAACTATTAATACTATGTCCTCTCAGGTATGAGATAAGAATCGGTTTGATAATAAATCTTATAATGGGAAGCTTGTTGATGTTTGGTAACACTGTTCAATCATTTTCTTCCCCTTTTGTCTTGGAGGTAACTAATTCACCTAGCAAGATCTACGGAAATTTCAATTGTGGATTTTAACTTACAGCCACATCATGTTAAAACATCTTGACCTTGCTTAACTATGGTTAATTATCACTATAAGCAAGGTCAAGCCCAGTCAGTACCTAGATGGGTGACTGCTTGGGAATACCAGGTGCTGTAAGCTTGGATGTGCAGGTGGTGTAATGGATAATGGCTTGGAATTGTTAATCACAGAGCTAAGATCCAGTTTCCTTTGGGTTCGTTATATTCATTTATGCATAAATATCCTTGGGGTAGGTATGAATCCACCTCTTCTCCCTTCCAGCAATGGATTAATTAATAAGATTAAACCATTATTATATGAAAAAAAAATTTTTACAATCTAAACAAAAACAAATTTGGCTTTAAATAACCTTCAAAGTGTTGATAAACTGTAGTAAATGAATGAATCAAACAATTGTGCATTCTGGCAATGTACCACCAAAATTAAATTTTGATAAAACAATACATTTTTGCGTCCGTTAATTTAACTTTGACATTTTGCAGTGCTTTTTGATAAATATATTTCAACTTTTAGAAAGTTTGACACTGACATTTTTTTGACAAGAGGAACTAATGTCTTCATCCAAATAGAATCATTAATGAATCAGTCAGTAAACTAATTTATGAGAATGGAGGGAGTGTGTTCTTAGCTGTATCTAAAAATAATGTTATGTATAGGGATGTAGGTAAGAATTAACAACTGTCCTGCATATAACGATAAACTATATTTGTGTCCTGGGTAAGACAACAAACTATATTTGACAGCAAGGCCTTTGATCAGAAAGTTTTGAAGAGCATGAAACTACCTTTTAATTGCTGGTGTTCTCAGGTCCACCCTGACCCAGGATGGTATCACCTGTCAGGATCCTAGTTATGGGCAAACAGTTAACCTTCCAAAAAGGGGTCAAAACACTATGAAAGTATAAAAATAGGTTTTAATACCAGCAACACATTTTTGAAAAAAAAAATAATATTACCAGCAACACATTTTTGAAAAAAAAAATATTACTGCAATAAAAATCTTGTCAGCATTAAATAACTTATTGAGGTTGATATGCTGTAAAACAAAAAACAATCCAAACCAAGAATTAACAAGCATTTGATATAAAGATATTTGAAAGAAAAATCAATATTTAATATGGTGTATTTTAATTATGTCAGGTTACTCTATAAGCGCTATTGGTCCTGAGTCACCCAGTTCTACATGGTCAAGTCATTGTAGACCAGGCCACCTGGATTAAAAACACCTGTCAAAGCGTGGATGAACTTTATGGCCATCTAGCACAATGGGATAGATTGGAATCTATAGCTATGTGTGCAGCTAATGCTTGTGATAACACCTCATCATTGGCTAAAGGACTTCTAGACTGAAGGCAACAGCTCGGGCAGAAGGTTTCTTTGACCAAGGTGAGGCTTCAAGTTAGAGGACATTGGCATTGGCTGTTTGACCTTGAGAGGAACGGGCACTGTCAATTCTACTTGCCTAAAACATGCTAGACCTGAATGAATACTTTTCTGGCTTTCAACCCAGATATGTACAGGAAACTGGTCAATAAATAAAAATCATTTCATATAAATGTAAAATTCAAATTTTTTTTTTTTTTCTGCAAGTCTTTTATCTTTATGAAGACTGTTTTTGGCTCCACTAATATTATAATCAAATTGAACAGAGTAATTGGTTTGGTTTGTTTGGTTTTATAGCATATCAACCCATATATGTTAAGGAAACTGGTCAGGTGCTCATCTTTGCAGCGACCCTATGGCCACACCCTGTCATGAGACTGATAATGATTTCAATTTGATTTAAGGCCAGTTGTTTCCCTGATTCAATGTGGTTGTTAAGAATCTTTGATCAAATTTTTTTGTATTACATGAAAGTTGAGCTGAACCAATTCTTGAAGATGGCACTTCAGTGCAATAATATTTGTCTGGAATGATTTGTAATTGTTTTTTATAAATACCAATTATTTGATTTTTTTTTTTTTTTTTTTTTTTTTTTTGTTGTTAAACCAAAATGCTTTCATAAACAATAAATTAGAATATAAGTAACTTTAGTCACCTGGTATTGACAATTGTAAAATGTTTGAATTGTAATTTTAAATAATTTTCTATTTCTGATCAATTTGGATTTTGGAAAATGCTTTTGACTTTCTCTTTCTATTTTTGGAATCCTCTGATCACTTATTCTTTTGGGAAGGCAGGGTTTCTTATCTATTAAATCCACAACTTACAGTATCTAACTTCAGAAAGACATTCAGCAATTTTGGAGGCAAACAAATGAAATTTTCCAACTATAACATCACCCCTTTAACAAAACAAGTCAGTTTTTTTTGTTGTTTTTTTTTTCCCCTCCAGGTAAAGAAGAAGGCCGATAGACTTTTAAAATCTGTGAGTAATGAAGTAACTGTATCCGATTTTGTGAATGTTCTGCAGGATTTGGAAAGATGCTTCAACAATTTGATTGCCATTGCGGCTACAACGGAAGATCTTTTTAGTAAGTAGTCCCAGTAAGCCCCATGTTTGCTTCTACTGTTTCAAATAATAAGCCATCCAAATATCTTTGTCTCTCTTTGCTAATTAGCAGGATATATATGGCATTGTGCAAGGTATAGCTTTTTACATTGAAATCTTGTTTGGATAATTGTATTTCTTTTGAAGATATTTCATGGTGTTCGTATGTTCTGTGTCGGTCTGTTTTGAAGCTTAACTTACATTGTTCATGTATTGTATATAACTCCTAAATAGTTTTTGATAAAAGGTAAATAAAAACAAATAGTCACTTCTTTAATGAACTGCTTCTTGAAATTAAAAACAAAAGAGTTGGTGATACTGAAGATCAGTGAAATACATTAAAATTTATTTTTACTGACATTTTGTCTGACATCAGAATTATTTAAGAAGGTTAGGGAATTTTGACCACTGGAAAAAAGAAAATATTAAAAACGTTTTTCAATGTTTTGTTTTGATGCATCCATTACAGAAAACATTCTTTTTATAATTTTTATTATTATAAATAGAAGTTAAACTTTGGATTTTGGATTGTGAAGATTATTTCTAGGAATGTCAGATAATAAATCTAACCCCAGAATTGTATTGCGTAATCGGATACAAGAATATTTTTCTCTCGTTCATTGGTTAGTAAGTGACATCTCAAGTCAAATTTTATATTTGAAATCATCTTTGTTTAGTAGCTTTAATTTCTGGATCTTGATTTCGCAACAAAACATTTTAATTGTATATTTGATTATAATATGTAAGCTTTCAACTATTTTGGTGTAAAAGCTTTTATTTTGGAGGATAAAATTCATTCAGTAAATCCTAATTGTGCGAAATAAAATAAGGATTTTATTGTAACATTCTTGTAGATAAATATGAGTTTTTCTTTTTTTTTTCTAGCTTTCAATGCACCAAACTCAAATTCTTTCTGCAAAAGCAAGAATGTTCCAACACAAAATTCTTTATCTGAATACCAAGTAAAATGGTCAAACCAAGAAATCTCAGAATTTCATGCACCTCAAAGAGCTTCTGCATTCAGTATGACCCAGCCTAACATTGGCACTTCATTCAGCAGATTTTCAGATGTTGAAAGTATTGACAGGCAACCACTTCTCTGTGATAGCCAGAATTACTCTAAGTCTTGGACTACTGATCAGTATTTATCAGGATGTAATAATTCTGTAAACTTTTGCTCTTCTCAGACAGTAGCACTTTGTGAACAGATTGCATCAGTTAAAGCGTTAGATCCTCAAGTTGGTACTGTCTTTACAACGAGTGAATTGGAATCTGTTCCACATCAACAATGGGTCAATCTTGGTTCAGATTCTGACCTTGAATCTAACAGCACAAGTCTTTCAAGAAGTCCAGTCAAAGATATTGCAAGTATACCAAACATAGTTTCAGTTCCACCGTTCAGTCCAAGAAGCTTATCGACTGAAGAGCCATATGGTATGGGACCAGAATTGAAATATCAGAAAGTAATGTCTGTAATGAATGTACAAGTGTGTGAAACTGTCACTCCATATTGTTTTTGGGTGCAAATATCCAGTTCTGTACACTTGTTAGAGGAACTGGCATCAGAAATACGGTGAGTACTCTACATTGTTTTCATCTTTATTATCAAAGCTTTTGCCTCAACAGTGTGTGATGGCTGTTGTATTGACAATTCAACATATAACATTCTCTTGGGTAGGAATACTTCACAAAACCGTGCATTTTTTTTTTTTTTTTTTATGTCTTGTCTTTTGTATATAATATCCTAAACCAGTAGGTCTTAATCTTATCTAGTGCTCTTTTTTACATATTTGTGTTGGCTGGCAACCCCCCCGCCTACATAAACATTATGCTTTTAAAGGAAACAAAGTTAATTCAACACTAAAATTTTGTTGCACTATAGCGCAGTACAAATTGCTGGGAGGAAGCCGTGATGAGAATAGCCATGTAGCGGTGACAAGCTCCAACTGTAGAAACTTCTGGAGCTTATACACATATACATACAGCAATTGCAGTTAAATGATTAACATAGATTTAAAAATGTAATTAAATAGGCAAAATGATTTGGACAAAGTTTAACATATATACCTGGAAAAAAGGATGCTTTTTCTCTTGACATCACTATTATCGTATATTCCCTCAACAATTTTTGTTTACAAAGCTATTTTTAGGATTTTAATAAAACCCAAACATAAAACAGGATTTATGCAGTCTTTTTTTCTTGAGACTTTGCAGCAAAAGTATTAAACACTATTCTTGTAAATAAACAGATGAATAAATTGTGTTTCACATTTTTATTGTCATTTCTCAAGAAAAAGAAAGATCCAGATACTTGCAAACTGTTTTAGTGAATTTATGTCACGATTAGATGAAAGAAATACTTGAAAATACATTTTTTTTAATATTTATAATTATGGTTACTTATTATGTTTATTTAAGTTTTCTTGTTCACTTGTCCAGATATTTTTATAAATTTATGAATTAAAAAATTGTTTTTGTTATTTCTTTATAATATAAGTCACTTGAATTTTTCTTAATTTATTAAATATTATAGCTCTAAAAGATGACTTGTTAATTTTAACACCTCCAAAACTAAACTTCTCTCCATTAATCATCTGAGAGACCCCCTCTCTGCCTTCCATCAGTCATGGCTGAAGCTATCCTCTAGGAAAGTGACTCCTTGCACCTTCTCACGCTAATGTTCTCAGCTGACATAAAGTGGAAAGACTATATTGAATCCATTGCTAGGTCAGCTGCTAAGAAAGTTAGTTCATTGTGCTGTGCAAGACAATTTTTCTCGTCAGAATCTATCATACATATCTATAAGTCTACCATTCGTCTATGCGTAGAATATAGCTGCCACATATGGTCTGGTACTTCTGCTATTTACCTTGAGATCCTTGATAAAATCCAAAGAATCAGCAGCAATATTATTGGTCCTTATCTGGCAGCTCAGCTTCAGTCACTTTCCCACTGCTGTAAGGTTGCCTCTGTCTTTTGTGTAAATACATTCATGGTAATTGTTCAGAAGAGCTCTTTGCTAGGGTACCCAAACTTTAAAAAAAAATTTAAGTGCAGTACTAGACTGGCATCAAAATCTCATCAATTTACAGTTGAGCTGGTTAGATATTAGCTATAAATTCTATGCTACCAGCTTCTTTTCATGCACTTTTTGCTTGTGTAACTCCCTTCCATGCTTTCCAGCTAACTTTAATCTCCAAAAATTTAAATACAATGTTAATTACTATCTACTGTCCTCCTGATTAATCTTTTCTCTTCTTGCTCAGTAGCAGCATTCTGGGTATGACAATAAACTACATCCATCAGCAAGGCCTTTCAGATGGAGATTTTAAGGGGCGTGGAATCACCTCTTAATTGCTATTGTACCCAGTAGTACTCGTTAGGGTTCTAGCTAATGGTAAATAATTTATCCCCAATCTGGTATCAAAACACCAAGAAAGGGTAGAAATACATTTTTGTAGTGAAGGTATCAGAAATACATTTCTGTGATTCAATGTTACCAGCAATACATTTAAAAAAAATTACCAACAAAAGGATACAAATAAAAAGAAATGGCACATCAATAAACATAAACACATACATTTTGACATTCAACAAACCTCCCCTACCGAAAGAAATGAAAATAGCATACACAATATAATATACACAATATTAAGTTCATAAAAGAAATAACACAACTCAGTACATCATTGAAGAATCAAGAGAAATGGACATAGATGAACAAAACTCTATCCTATCTCAAATAAGGGAACAGTCATCATTCAGACAAAGATTGTCACAAGAATTTAATGGAAAAAGAAAGGAAACAAGATCAAACAAACAAGCGGAAACAAAAGACCTTCAAAGATCAAAACGTGAAACAAAGTGCTAACAGACCAGAGAGCATAGAAATTATGGACACTTCACACACTAAACATAAACCAGACAAACAAAAACTCCTAACAACACCCTAATACATAAGCATGATACAAAAAATTATACAGTGGAATTGTCAAAGCCTAAAAGCAAACATAAATGAACTATGCCTACTCATAATGAATCAACTTTCTGTCATCATTTGCCTCCAAGAAACATTCTTAAAACCAAATGATAAAATAAAAAAAACTAAAAAAAACTATACTCAATATAACTACATACATGACACTCTACAAAGAACATCTGGGAGCATATCAATCCTAATCAGAAATGACATTCCCCAAAGTAAAATACTTCTAGAAACCAATCTACAAGCAGTTGTTACAAACACTACCTGACATAGAAACATCAATATCTGCTCTATTTACATTCCACCCACCTCATGACCCCATAAAAGAAACTGATCTAAATAAACTAATAGAACAACTGCCGAAGCCATTCATATTATGAGGTGACGTTAATAGACACAATGTTATATGGGGATCCAAGAACTCTGACAAGAAGGGGAAAAACCTGGAAAATGTAATTAACAACAATGACTTATATTTACTAAATGATAAGTCTAATATATATCTACGCACTGCATCAGGTATGTAATCAGCTATTGACCTATCACTGTGTGAGGCCCCCCCCCTATTTTTATAGATTACAATTTGCAAGTTCTTGACAATTCATGCAGCAATGATCACTATCTAATTATACTGAAGAGTTCAGAACAAATTGAAAACAACCACCCTTAATGGAAACTAAACAAAGCAAATTGGAGGGAATATGAAAACCAATGCTGTCAAAAAACTTACCAACAAAGATGACAAAAAAATCTAATTACTATTTCTATGAAACATTAATAGTGATTGCAAGAAAATGTATACCAAAAAGCAGTGAATCAAATAAACATCAAAGACCATGGTTCGATAAAGATTGCAAAAAAGCACTAAGATTATGTAGAGCAGCACTATGAAAATTTAATACCCAACCTACAACTCATAATTTAAATCTATTCAAACAAAAAAGAATAATAACATGCAGAACCATCAAAAAATCTAAAAGAAAATCATGGAGAGATTAAATAAATAAAATAAACTCTAATATGAAACCCAAAATATCTGGATTATGATAAGGAAAATTGCTGGCAAAAATCTATGTACTTCTCTAAATCACCTTTCCCAAAATAACATAAAATAACAAGCAAAAAGGATATAGCAAATCTACTTGCTGAAACCTTTAAAAAATATCCTCAGTGAAAACTCCAAACAACAATTTCAAAAAGTTAGGCATGATGCAAAAAAAAAAAAATAATTTGAACTTTAACTTGAAAAACAAAGAAGATTACAACCAACCTTTTACTCTAAATGAACTTATAGATGCCATAAGCAAATCACATAATATAGCTACTGGCCCAGATGAAATTCATTATAAATTTCTCAAATAACTCCCCCTTCAAAATCCTTAAAATATCTGTTAAACATCTTTAATGAGATATGGTTTAAGGGAAAGCTACTGAATAGCTAGAAACAAACTACCATGATCCCTATACCAAAATCAGATAATGACAAATCAGACCCAAAAAACTTCCGACTGATAAGATTAACAAATTGCATATGTAAAACCCTAGAAATCATAGTGAATATGCCAGGAACCATATACTGTTAAACACATTCTGCTAAATTGCTTTAACTTCCAGCAAACCTGAAACAAACTTTACATATTGAATAACTTAAAGGACCTATTTGAAAATACTGATCCAAGTAACATCATAAATTTCATTAAATGAATTGGGCTCTACAGAAAAAATTGGGCTCTACAAAAAACAAAAAAACAAACTTGAAACTAATGGTTTAATTACCAATCTTCAGAGTGGATTCTGAAACAAAGGAGGCACCATAGTCCACCTAGAAACTTTCATTAGAGAGGCTTTTATTAAAAAAAAACACAATAGCCTTTTTCTTTAATCTAGAAAAGGCCTATGAAATGACATGAAATAATGAAAGACCTATAAAATCTGGGATTAAAGGGCATATTACCCAGTTTGATAAATAACTTTTTGTCAGATGTTTCAAAATTTGTGTTGGATCAAGTTGTTCTGCTTGGTTACGTCCTGCCTGTCACTATTTTTAATATAAAAATTGATTGAATCAAGGAGTCAGTGGCTCATTTTACATAGACAACTTTTTGATCTGCTACAGATCAAAAAATATGCACACTGCAGAACGACAATTGCACTTGTGCATAAATAAATTAAATGATGGACTATAGAAAATGATTTCAAATTCTTCCCAACCAAAACAAAGTGTATCCATTTCTGTTATCTGAAAAAAAATGCAAAATGACCCAACTCTTAAACTTGCAGGAACTGAAATTGAAATAACTGATCAACATAAATTTCTGGGAATCATTTTTTTTTTGATAAAAAAAAAACAAACTTATTTTCATCCCCCACTTAAAATACATAAAACAGAAATGCTTCAAAGTATTACAATTACTACAGGTCATGGCTAACACCAACTGGGGAGCAGATCTCATATCACTCCTAAAATTATATAGAACTCTAATAAGAACTAAATTGGACTCCAGATGTTTCATATATAGATTGACCTGGAAATCCTACCTAAAAACCCTTGACCCCCATTCACCATGCAGAATTAAGACTTGCTGTGGGTGCCTTTAAAACATCACCCATAGAAAGTTTATATGCTGAAGCCCATGAGGCAGTGTTAAAATTGAGATGAGAAAAACTGGCATTACAATATTATCTAAAACTCAAATCCTTCCCAGTTAACCTCAGAGCTCCAATTACTATTTGTACAGTCTCAGTCCCTGCAGCCTCTTAATTTCCATCTCCAGGTTTTTGTATTTAGACAATTTCTTGGTAATTTTTATGGAGGTGTTTCTCTCAGATGGTACTGCTATGTCAATAAGAATACACTTCCTGAATTTCTTGTCTTTTATGATAATATCAGATCTGTTGGCTTTTATTTCTCTGTCAGTTTGAATTGGCATATCACAGAGGATAGTTAAATCGTTATTTTGGGTAACTGTGTCTGGTTGGTGCTCATACCATCTCTCAGTGGTCTCGATTTTGTGCTTCTGGCATATCTTCCAGTGCACATATGTCGCTACCTTGTTATGTCTGTGGATATATTCATTTTTTTTTAATTGTTCCATACATCCTGAGATAATACAGACGACAGTTTCATCATATTTTCTGCAGATCTTGCATTTCGGATTAGTTCCATCCTTGATTATCTGACAGTGATAGGATCTGGTTGAGAGGCTTTGGTTCTGAGCTGCAGTAATTAGGCTTTTTGTCTTTGCTTTCAACCTGGTGATCCTCAGCAACTGAGGTATTTTCTGTTGGTCCACATCTGCTTCTTTTGTCCTTTTTAGATATTTGCCATGCAACACCTTGTCCACTCAGTTTTGTTGTAATTTCATTCGGCCATGTTGTTTTGCTTCCTGTTTTACTCATTTGGCGTAGATGGTATTTGCTTCGTTTTTTGTTGGTAGGTTTTCAGGTATATTAAGCTGTTCCTTGAAGAGTGCATCTTCTTTGTTGATTGAGTGGATTTGGTGTTTTACTATTTGTAGGAGAGGGTCATTGGTTTTTGTGAAGTAGGCTTCCAATCCAATTGTTGTAGTTTTTAGAGTTAGTTGGATTAGACATTGGGCCCCCTAAAGCTCTTGGTACGTGCAGCCTATCAACATCTGATTTCGAGTGGTGCATCCTCATTGGGGTAAGCATTTTTCTGGTCTTGGCGTCCAATCTTTTAATGTTATTCAACTTCCATTCAATAATGTTGAAGCTGTATGTTACTATGGGTATAGATATGGTGTTGATATCCTTCATTTTATTGGACGCATTACGTTCGCTTTCTAGTATCAAACTCTCCTATAATATCTTTTTTGATCTTTTTCTTCATAATTAAATGTTGTATCCCGTCTCTTTCATTAATTCATTAGCATTTGTATGTACCATCTTGGTCTAGTTCCTTAATCTTGTTGTTGATATCAAGGTCTAAATCCATAGGTTTCATTACTTTACCACCCTTTGAAGGTGGCATTGGCATATTTGTCGATTCCAAACTCTATCCTAATGGTTTCACTGAAGGTCTTGACAATGGTGAGTGGGTTTTTCTTCTGGTTGTCATCTTTGGCAAGCGTTTTAAGATCATCAATATAAAATAGATGATTCAGTTTGCCATTCTATGTCTTGTATGGCTTAGGTTTAGTGTAGTCTTCCAGGTTTTCATGCTCTCCATTATGAATTTGACAGGCTCTTCTCTCTCTATCCATGAGTGTGGTACACTATTGAAGGCCTTTCTGTAGTCAATTCTTCTTTCTTTCTTCCTTTTTCTTTCTTTCTTCTTCCTTTTTCTTTCTTTCTTCTTCTTCCTTTTTCTTTCTTTCTTCTTCTTCCTTTTTCTTCCTTTTCTTCTTTTTCTTTTTCTTCTTCTTCTTCCTTTTTCTTTCTTTCTTCTTCTTCTTCCTTTTTCTTTCTTTTCTTTCTTCTTCTTCTTCCTTTTCTTTTCTTCCTTTTCTTCTTCTTCTTCTTCCTTTTCTTTCTTTCTTCTTCTTCTTCCTTTTTCTTTCTTTCTTCTTCTTCTTCCTTTTCTTTCTTTCTTTCTTCTTCTTTCTTTCTTCTTCTTTTCTTTCTTTCTTCTTCTTCCTTTTTCTTTCTTTCTTCTTCTTCTTCCTTTTCTTTCTTTCTTCTTCTTCTTCCTTTTCTTTCTTTCTTCTTCTTCTTTCTTTTTCTTTTCTTTCTTCTTCTTCTTCTTTTCTTTTTTTCTTTCTTCTTCTTCTTCCTTTTCTTTCTTTCTTCTTCTTCTTCTTCCTTTTTTCTTTCTTTCTTCTTCTTCTTCCTTTTTTCTTTCTTTCTTCTTCTTCTTCCTTTTTCTTTCTTCTTTCTTCTTCTTCTTCCTTTTTTCTTTTCTTTCTTCTTCTTCTTCCTTTTCTTTCTTTCTTCTTCTTCTTCCTTTTTTTCTTTCTTTTCTTCTTCTTTTCTTTCTTTCTTCTTCTTCTTTTTTCTTTCTTTCTTCTTCTTCTTTTTCCTTTTTCTTCTTCTTTCTTCTTCTTTCTTCCTTTTCCTTTTTTCTTTTCTTCTTCTTCTTCCTTTTCTTTCTTTCTTCTTCTTCTTCCTTTTCTTTCTTTCTTCTTCTTCTTCCTTTTCTTTCTTTCTTCTTCTTCTTCTTTTCTTTTTTCTTTTTCTTTTCTTCTTCTTCTTCCTTTTTTTCTTTCTTTCTTCTTCTTCCCTTTTCTTTCTTTCTTCTTCTCTCGTCTTCATTTTCTTTCTTTCTTCTTTTCTCGTCTTCATTTTCTTTCTTTCTTCTTCTTCTTTTCCTTTTCTTTCTTCTTCTTCTTCCTTTTCTTTCTTTCTTCTTCTTCTTCCTTTTCTTTTCTTTCTTTCTTCTTCTTCTTCTTCTTCCTTTTTTTCTTTCTTTTCCTTTTTCTTCTTCTTCCTTTTTCTTTCTTTCTTCTTCTTCTTCCTTTTTCTTTCTTTCTTCTTCTTCTTCCTTTTTCTTTCTTTCTTCTTCTTCTTCCTTTTTCTTTCTTTCTTCTTCTTCTTCCTTTTTCTTTCTTTCTTCTTCTTCTTCCTTTTTCTTTCTTTCTTCTTCTTCTTTTTTTCTTTCTTTCTTCTTCTTCTTTTTTTCTTTCTTTCTTCTTCTTCTTTTTTTCTTTCTTTCTTCTTCTTCTTCCTTTTCTTTCTTTCTTCTTCTTCTTTTTTCTTTCTTTCTTCTTCTTCTTCCTTTTTTCTTCTTCTTCTTCTTCCTTTTCTTTCTTTCTTCTTCTTCTTCCTTTTTTTCTTTCTTCTTCTTCTTCTTCCTTTTTCTTTCTTTTCTTCTTTTCCTTTTCTTTCTTTCTTCTTCTTTTTTTTCTTTCTTTTTTCTTCTTCCTTTTTCTTTCTTTCTTTCTTTCTTCTTCCTCCTTTTTCTTTCTTTTTCTTTCTTTTTCTTTCTTTCCTGTAGAGCTGGATCCAAACTACATTCTTTAGGCCCTATAGGAGAATTGTCATTTAATTGATAGCACTTTTCTTATTATATGGGATGTTCCTAGTAGAGCAATTTTCTGGGCAAATTGTATATATGGGACACTAATAAATATTATTATTATTATATGGTAAATAATAAATATTGCATTGTATTTGGTTCACATTTTATAAACTTGGTAAATATGAAGTTATTCTTGTAAATAAACAATCTAATAAATAGTGCTTGACTCTTGTTGCCAGTTCTGAAGAAAAAAGAATTCATAAATCCAGTTTCATAAGTTTGTTGTTTTTTTTTGTTTTTTTTTGTTTTGTTTTTTTTTTATTCTAAAAATTGCTTTTTAAACAATAAAAATTGCTGAGGGTGTATTCAGTATTCATGGTGCCAAGAAAAGGAAACATGCTTTTGACAGTGTTTTTTATTTTTGTACGTATGTATGTTAAAAATTGTCCAGATGTTTATGTAAAATGTTATGACTCGTCCTACTCGGGGTTCAGTGTGTTAAATTATCTTAGTGCCTTTGTTAAAATTATAGCTGCCTCCATCTGCCATGAACATTTACTGACTGTGAGTTCATAGCACCCAAGCCCTGCAAAAGAGCACTGAGAATGATTTTCATAAGCAAAATAGAGATTCTCCAGTATAATGACAAGAAGAGTAATACATTTTCTCAAGGGTTCACTGAGCTTTGCTTGTGAATATCTTTTTCAATGAGGACTCTAAAATTCTAAGTTTCTACCAAAGTAGCTTGGCAAAAGCAGTATCACTCTTAAAAAGAAAACAAAAACACACAATTATCTCTATATACTATTTTTTTTTATATTTTGGAATGTTGCAAGTAGTTCAGTTATCATATTAACATAAAATTTTCTTTTCTTTTCTTACACAATCAATGAGAGAGGTTATGAATTTTAAATCTAAAACATATTATTCTTTATTTTCAAGCATCTCATAGAGTAAATCTTTTGTTCATCTCTTTTCAACACTGTCTTGTAATATCCAAAGCTTTGGAAGGTGAGAAAAAAGTTGTTAGTGGCTAAATACTAATTGTGATAAAATCATTTTTGAAAGTTTGAAGTTGGACCACATATTTAATTTTGAAACCAATTGCAGTTAAACTATTTGCTATAAATTATGTTCTGCTATCAAAATACTTAATTGTGCATATTGTTGGTAGCTATAGATATTACTGTGGTAACTTGTGATTGTCAACTTTTACTGCTATGTAGGAAGGGTTAAGTATATTATAGGTAAGTTCAAATAGATGCATATATTGTCAGTCAAAGCAGTTGAAAATATTTTTTGAATTTGTGATTATTGAAGCTTTATCTTGCCAATTATCAAATCTACAATAATATATATATATATATATATATATATATATATATATATATATATATATTTTTTGCTTTTTGCAGCTGCTTTATTACTTCTAAATATAACCTTAATGTTGTTTATGGAATTGCTTGTCCATATGTTGGAATGACTTGCATTGCCCCTTTTACGGATGGTTCCTATTACAGAGCTCGTGTGCTCAGTGTATTAGAAACCCAGAATCCAGGTAAAATCATTTTTTTTTTTTATTTCCCCTTCATTTTTTTTTCTCAAGTGCATGAGAAATATTTTGTGTGCACTAATTAAGTAAACTGGTCTATTTGAAAGTAAATATGGAAAATTTTTTGAAAATTAGCATTCGTTAGACCTCCCTCAATGTGCAGAATTTGTTAGAATGAACAAATATTTTTTTTTTTTTTTTTTTTAAGATTTCTTTTAAATAAAGAATAAACAGATATGTACATTTTTAATTAAAGAACAAAAATTTATGTAATAAAAATATATGTCCGTTTATTATTCATTTAAAATAAATAATTATTAATCCAAAATATTTTTGCATGTGCTGCTAAAAAAATCCCCCAAATATATTTTTAAAAAAGGAAAATTTTAAATTTTGGTAAATTTAAAAATAAAACTATGCAAATATCAATAATGTTAGCACAGTTTAAAACTTGACATTTTTAAATAACAAACCAAATACAAAGAACTGTCAAAAGTCAGACTGATTAGTGACTATATTTATATTATGGGCACCTAAAGGTGGTGTAATGGTTAGGAAGCTTGTCTTGCTTAATCATTTATGACTGAGTAGTAAGTTCCATTCTCACTGGGTGCCCCATATTTTCGGCCTTGTGCCACATCTAAGCTACGCTTGGAAAATCACCCAATGGACAGACCCCCCCCCCACCATTCTAAAATGATAAAAAGATTTTTTTTTTTATTCTGACAAATGTGTCTTGAGGAAAGTCTAATAAATGCTAATCTACAAAAATGATCCCCCTCCAAAACGTTTCCATTTTTTTTTTTTGTTATGAGTGAACCTGTTTACACTTATTAGGCAGTTACTGTTTTTATTGTTTCACACACACGCACACGGGTAATTGAATAGCAAAAAGGGAAAGATTGCTTACATTATGCATTTTGTCCCTCAAAAGGACTTCTTCAGACTAATAATGGTTTTATCAATGGAGTCATTGATAAATATTATTTTCTTTCTCTGACTTCTAATTATTTATGGTGTCTAAGACCAAATGATACTAAGTTTGTTAACAATGTTTTTAGTAAACAATACAATATAGATTCCATTGTCATATTTGCCATATCTGTTCCATATTATCTTTGTGCCAGCAAAAGTGCACTTTTTTTTCTTAAGTTATTTATTGTTTGTAATGGAAAAATCAGTTGATTAAATTAGTGATTCTGTGATAGGACATCTGTTTTGTTTTTTACTTGTGAAAGTAAGGAAATTTCCTTTGAGTTATTTGCATCTGGTTAAAGATCAAAATCCCAAGATGATGTTTTTATTCCTTAATTAATGGATTAACTGTTTAGCTATTTGAAGTTTAACATGTTAATCATACTACTATTTTGCTTTAAATGAAAGTGTGTTAAAATTTCTCCTCTACAAAAATGAATCCACTGTATGAAGTTGTCTGAAGATTAAATAGTTTTTTTTTTAAAATAATATTAATATTTTTTTAATTTTTATTTTTTTTTTGAAAGGACTTCTTGATTGGGTCAAGAATTTTTGGCACCCTCTTGTATATTTTATTAATTTTTATCTTCTAAAATCATGTAACTCTGTAGTAACATAATTTTTGTTGTTCTTGGACATTGCAAGAGAGCAAAATTCATCAGAACATTATTTTTCAGGTTTCAACAATTTAGTAATCTAGAAATTAGGAACAAAATTCTAAATTATTCCTGATGTTTCAGATGATACAAACACAAACTTATTTAATAAATGTTTCCTTTGATTTAAAAGGTTTGCTTTTTTGTGCTATTTGTTTGACTGATGTTTCTTTGTTTTTTTAATTATGTTATATTTCTTCTTCTGTAGACCATACTTTAGACACCAAAGTGAATGTGTTATATGTTGACTATGGCAATATGGATGTTATTCCAAGCACTTCTCTCATCAAAATGCCTAAAAGTTTGGCTAAGTTCCCAACTCAAGCCATATGCTGTTCACTGGCCAAAGTAAGTTGTTTTTTCTGCTCTGCTTTGCATGATTTGCTAAATGATCAAGCATCTTTAAATTACTAAATAGGAGTTATTCTTTCAGAAGTGAAATTTGGGTCTCCAAAGGGTATGTTTCTCCTAACGACCATTGTGAAAAGCAAGGTGAAGGTTCAACTCTGTGCTAAATTACAGAGAGCTCAATTAGCATATTGATGTTTTTTGGCCAATGTACGTAACTGTGTGTACAATTTTATTTTATTTGTTTTTGTTTTTTTACTAGATATCACCTAATAAAAGGTAGGCTTGAGAGCCACCCAAGGTAGAGGGTTATAGTTAAAATGATAATGATGAGTGAAGCATGTGAGTGGAAAAGCAGTTGGTAGGAAGTAAAGATTGTGAGAATAAGGAAGATAAAGGATTGATCCTTGACCGGAAGAGGTCAAGATTAGAGTGATCAAGAGAGAAACCTTAATTTTTGTTCCCATTTATTAGAGCATTTCTCAATATTTGGGTAGTTTCATATGGCAACTGGGTTCATAAAACAGTTACACTATGATTACAAAGTAATTACAAAGTATTGCTGATATGATACAGTAGATGACTATCCCATTAAAATTGGAGGCCATCACTAGTGTCATAAATCATCCCTGCTGTCGCATAAATGGAAAATAAATAAATGCGTGGGTTGATACAAGCTCCTTGGGGAGTGGAGTCATGTTGGAGGTATGCCAGTTCCATATTGTCACAAAATTGGAAATTTAACTAAATAAGACTTGTGGATTTGCACTGGTACAAACAAAGCAAAGGACGTGTATCATTTAACATTCAGAACATTATGTTGAATATGCAACTGCCTTCAGTTTAATATGTAAACAAGCATTAAATATTTTTAAATTATTTCACCCCTAAGCAATGTGAGAAAGCCATTAAGACACAAGGGATTACTGAGGGTGAAAGAAAACTACAAAGACGTTAGTGAAGAGAAAGGACAATAAAAGAACAGGACTCAGGAAGACAGAAGATGACGATTTATGTTGCATTTAAATTTTTGAAAATTGTATGTGAAAGAAGCGAGAAGTCAATTCCACAGGCAAGAAGTGGAACTATTAGAATGAAACTTACGGTTACATCTAGCTATTTAAATCATAAAACAATGAGACCTAGCTGCCAATCCAGTTCAGTTATGTGCCATATGTGACACACGCATAAGCGATTATGTATCTTTTGATACATGACTGACAAGGCAGATTTTTTTCTGGAGTAGGTTGGCATTTCTTTCTGTGGTAAACCAGTTGCCATCCAAGGCTGTAGAACCTGATCTATCCTGCTATTTATCCATAGCTGGGGGAGAAGAGGAGGATTCATACCTTTCCCAAGGATATTAGCACATAAGTGAATGTAATAGATTTGACTGGAATTTGAACTCAGTTCTCCAATTCCTCAATCTGAGCTGCTATCTATTACTCCACCATGCCTCCTCTGCCAATCTAGTAGTATGCTTAAATACCTGCAATTGAAGTACCAAGGAGGAAAGCTCATTAGAACAATTGCCATGAAGCTATTTATAGAATAGACAGAAGGAAGCTACCTCATGGTGATGGAAAAGTGACTGAAGCCGAAATGCCAGGTCAGGACTGATGACATTACAGAATCTTGTGATATATAGCAGGAGTATCAGACCATATCTGCCAGCAATATTTAATGCACGGTTGAATGACTTGATTATGATAAGAAAAATTGTCTGTTTTTCAAAAAGTAGAGAAATGTAGAACTACATGTGGAAATATATCTTTGTAAAAGCATGAAAATATCCCACAAATTAATAAAATTGAATCCAAAAAGAATTTGAGTTTAGTTCTCTACCAGTTTTGTGCTCTTGACATGCAATAATTGTAAACTCATTAACTGATTTGTAGATTTTTGTTGTTCTTTATTGGTTTATTTGATAAACTATTTTGAGATGAACTTATTACACTTCAAAATGTCCATAGTGCCGTGGTGGGATGTGAATCCAGATCCCCAAAGCATACAACAAGAAAATTCGCAAGAAAGTAACTATATTGAAAGTTACTTGTTGAAGTTGGTAGTTTATGATAAGAATATTTTTTTCGAATTATCTCCCTTTGATTTTCACTTTAAAAAATATAGACTTCACCCTGTGCTTTGAAAATAAATCTGTTCTTACATGATACATTCATTTACTCCAAGGTTTGAATTGAAAAAATAAAATCACTTTGTTGTTCAGCTTTTTTCTGTGTTATGATAATAAATGAAATCATTATAATATAGATGTAAGATTTTTTTCCTAACCTCCCTCCTTTGTAAATAGTTTTAATAATTTCAATCAATTTTTCTCAAACATAACTGTTTCTTATAATCTTTTTGTTTCTAAATGCACAGGTGATGCCTCATGAAATTGATGATGACTGGTCCGCTTGCTCTTCTGAGGCATTTCACAATATGGTGTACTGCAAAGACTTTGTGTGCAACCCTGTCTATGGGGATAATTTTATACCTCAGATTGTTGATCTATACTTACTGGAATCAACATCACCGATGACCCTTGAAGACTTACAAACTAGGCAGGAAAATAAAGTCAGCTCTATATTAATTAAACAGGGATATGCCCAGCATATTACCGAGTCTAGTCAAATAAGAAAAATATACCAGATTATAAAGAACTGGATTTTGTTCAAGTCCAGTTTTTCACCAGACGAATCTCAGAACATGATGGCAAAAAAGAACCCACCTGCTTCTTTATCTGCTCCTTTTGTCAGGCTGCATCAAGCCAATGATAATTTTGAATTGCATCATCAGAGTTTCCAAGTTGATAAAGAATCTAAAAATTTGGATGTTCAAGTTCCTGTGTCTGGTCAGATGGAAGCAAGCTCAGCTCAAGGTGCTTTTCCTGTATCTTGCTCAAAATCGTCAATGCTTGATTACGAAGCTTCTGAAAATAACCTTTTCTGTCGGTCAGGTGCAGGTTTAGATCAAAGTCTTTTATGCAATAGCACTAAAATTTCTCAGCAAGTAACTGCTCTTAAAGAAAACTGTATTCCTGATTTCAAAAACAGTTTAGAGACTACAAATTCACAGGCTGTATTTAGTAAATCGGATAAGTCTCTGGTTACTACCTCTACAGAAACTGTGATCACCTCCTCTGCTAAAGATTGCAGTAACGATTTACATGGACCAGTGGAGAACCTGCCAGATCCACTTGCCCAACCCAGTGTTCACAGAAGTTCTACCAAAACCATCTTATCTTCAGATTTGGAATCTGTCAATTCAAAATCAGACTCAAATGGATTCCATGCTGTTATGATATCCCATGTTGAATCGCCATCCAGCTTCTATGTCCATCATATCACCAAAGAAACAAGCGTCCAACTGGAAAAACTTGTCAAAGACATGAATGCTGACTTCAACTGGTTGACACCTAGCCAACTAGCAAAGTCTGCTAGTGAAGTGATCATTGAAAACGGTAGACTGTGTTGCGCATACTTTGCTAGTGACCAAATGTATTACCGAGGTCTGATAATTGAGAAAACTGATGCATCAGAAGGCATTTTGGCAAAAGTATTCTTTTTAGATTTTGGAAATTCTGACTGGCTTCACTGTGATAAGATCTATTCACTGCCTCAGCCATATTCCAAAATGCCAGCATTGGCACGGCATTGTGCTCTTGCGTATGTGCAACCAGAGGGGCCTGCCTGGCCTGATGAAGCCAAGACAGCATTTAAAAACATGATAAAGGTCAAGGAAACTTACTTCATCAAGATGGTTGATGGCAGCTCACCACTGGACATACCCAGGTAATATATTAAAGTTTTTATATATATATATATATATATATATATATATATATATATATAGTTATTGTGTTTGTGAATTATGTGAGCTCACTTAGTATGATTACATTTTAACTAGAATTTCTTTCATTTTAATTTTGTCTTTTATTGGAAGGCAGCCTGAATACTTATGATAAGACAACTGAAATTGTTCTTGCAATAAAAGGCCCAAGAACCACACAGAGCAGAGGATTACCAAATGGCGTTGTTGTATAGACATAAGAAGAGTAGTTAAGAAGTGTAGATGTTGTGAATATGTAGATGAAAATAACGGTTAACCCTAGACTTGAAAAGGTTAAGATTGTCGCAATCTGGAAAGCATCCCCCAGGAATCTGTTCCACAAAATTAGCAGTTCTTGGGAAGAAGATGACTATCTAAATGGAATTTCCTTTTTACTAATGGAAATAGCAATAAAGTAGCAATAGGCTTGTGATTTCACATCTGTAGAAAAGAGATTGTAGAGTGGAAGCTAATTCATCATCCTCAAGGCTACATGGAGGCTTTCAAACTCTTATCAAGACTGGAAAGTTGTAAGAAATACTTAATTTGACAATATATTATAATAAAATTTGAGTTCAAACGTTCCAGAGCATGTGAGAAATAAAGTTTTAAGGAAAATGGAAACAAAAGGGACACTCACAATCAGAAAGATTTGAAATTTCTGAACCTATGAGGAAAGAAGGCTCGGCAAATCTGATGCTGAAGGCAAAAGAAACCAAGGAGGAGCAGTGAGTAACCTACCCTAACAAGCTTGTGTAAATGGGTGGTAGAACAGGGAGTCGTAAGGAATGTAAAATGAACATTTTTAATAATTGCAAATTATAGGAAATTGTGGAGATCCATGATCGCCAACATCTTAAAGCAGTGGTTTTCAGCTGGAGTTTATATGGACCCTGGTGGGGATCAATGTAACATAACTGGAGCTCCACACAAAGAATAGCAAATTGAGGATGTATGTTAATATTTTAAGGATTTTATATAAAGGAAGCATATAATTTACTATTTCTATAATACAATTCCTAAACTTATCAATTAGTAAAAAATAAAATAAACATTTTTTTTTTCTTCATTGAATGGTTATGAGAGTCTACTGAAAATTATTACAAGTAACAGTAGTCCATAGGTAAAAAAAAAAAAAGGTTGAGAACCACTGTCTTAAAGGGACACAGCACATGGGAGAGGGAGAGTATGAATTTGTATCATATACAGGTGTACTTTTTTTTTTTATTTACTAGTTATCTCCCTTGCATTGCTGATGCCAAGTTGCCAATATCTTTGACAATGGTAAACTGTTCCTAGATGTTCATGAAACAATGTTGTGAAAAGACAGAATTTTGTGAAAGAGCAACAATACATGTGAAGACGACATTTAGACTCGCATGCAATAAAAACAAAACAAAAAAAGCAGGAATTTAACAAGTTGTGCTTTTTTTTTATGGTGTGTATAAACTAGAATTTTCTAAAGAATTAATGGATTTATTTTTAATTTATATTACTTCAGATGTTATTATAAAATGTATTTTCCAGCAGGGATTAAGCCTGCATCTCACCTTGTAAGGGAAACCACCATTTTTTTCAGAGAACATGTTTTTATACACAGTTTAATAAATAAAAATGGGTCTATTTCACATACGTTTGAAGTAATATAAATTAGAATTTATGAAAATAAAATCTCTGTATCTCTTAATATACACACTTTTTTCCCTTCAGGATGTAAGGCAACTATGGCTCACTAGAATTTCCTTTATTATCTGAATGGCTATGATTGTTCTTGGAGTAGTTTTCTGTTGCCTTTTCTACAATTTTGAATTCAGAATTATCCATCTTCTGAACTGACAGCCATTCAAGGTGAGAAAATCCAGTTACTTTTCTGGAAAAGAAAATGGGATGTGCTGTTCCCAAGGGCATTTGTACAATGTGAACACTATAGATGAGACTGGAACTTGAACTCTGCTCACTAATTCCACTTTCTCAGCTGATAATTAGAACTTGTTCATTGATGATGGTGGCAAGACTTTATCTAATCTGTTAATGGATTATTCCATTATTATTTCCTTTTGATTTTATTCCCAAAGCAGTAACCATTGTTATTTTTCTTGGGTTGTTACAATACAATGCCTACCTTTCATTTTGTGAACGGTTGTTGATAACCATAACTCGATAAACAAAAATTCCATAAGAAAGTCTTGGTATTGTCAATGTTTTTTTATTCTCCCACCACTCCCAGATAAAACTTTTTTGTTTTTTTATTCCACCCCAAGCAAGGTGACAATGCCACTAAGATGTAAAGGGTTAGTGAGAGTGAAATAAAAAGAAAAAGATGTTAATGAAGAGAAAGAACAGAGATTTGGGAAGGCAAAATATTGACATTGCATTTAAATTTTTGAAGGTCGTAGGTGATAAGGAAATAAGAAACAAGTAGAAAGTTCCCCAGGTGAGAAGTTTAAGAAAAGGAAGTATTAGAACATTAGTTATAGCTTGCTATTTCTGCAGTAAGATAATGAACTCTATTTGCCAACCTAGTTGTATGCTTAAATCCATGCAATTGAGGTATGAAATTGCCATGAAAATATAGAAAAGACAGAAGCTAGGTTACAGCAGTGGGAAAGTGATTGAAGCTGAGATGCCAGGTCAGATTTATAAACATGCAAGAAGGATTCTCAGGAAAGAAATTGTATGGAATGACACAGCGAAGCAACTTTCCTAGCAGCAGACTTAGCAATTGATTCAGTATTATCATTGCAATTTATGACAATGGATAATGTGAGACCAAGAAGGTGAGTGGAGCTTAGTCAGTACCTAAATTGGTGACTGCCTAGCAATACCAGATGCTGTAACCCCTATGTGTGGGTGGTATAATGGATGATGGTTCAGAATTGTTAATCAGAGAGCCGAGTTCCAATTCTTGCTAGGTTCATTAGATTCACTTATGCCCAAATACCCTTGTAAAATGTATGAATACACCACTTCTACCCTCTATGGCTTATATTAGTAAGACTTGTATGACCAAAACCATTATCTCCTCAAAAAAAACAATGAATAAAATTGCTTACAAAATATTTAGATTTCAGCATTAAATAGCCCATGTTGATATGCTGTTAAACAACCAACATGTTGCAATGATTTTCTCATCTCGAGGTCAGCATCAACCATACTGATGGAAGGCAAAATAGTTCTCTATGATGACTAATAAATAGCAGTTTTGGAAGCATTAGAATTTACAAGCCATTTCTTGCCCCAACTAACAACTGATTAAAGGTCATCTTAGAGATCAGCTGCCAGTTTTACTTAATTGGACCTATCAGACAGCAGTAAATAGTTGTGTCATCAGTATGAATATGAAGTTAGGAACTGAGGACATAGGGAAGGTCACTGATAAAGATAAGAAACAATGTAGATCCCAGTATAGAATCTAGAAGAGTTCACCTTCAACATGACTTTCATTACATGATTTGTTAAAAAAATTGGATTGTGTCAAATATTCGGCCACACACCATGGCCCTTCAGCTTGTGAAGAAAGGCCAGCATACCAAACCATATCAAATGCCTGAGACATATCTAAAGCTACAGCCTGAGCCTCAATGTTTTTTTATCTATAGCTTGATAGACAAATTCATTAATAACTCTTAACACATTGTCAGTTGACCTAGAGAAGTGGAAGTCATATTGTTTATTTTAGAAAAAAAAATGTGCAAAGTGATATGCTTAACCAATTCAGAGTTGATTAAGGCTTCTAGTACTTAGCCAAAAAGAGGTAAAAGACTAATAAATAGGATGGTAGTTTGAAGGGTCAGAAGATTCATCAGAGTCCTTAAGACCAATAACTATAGAAGAGGATAGCGATAAGCAACAAAGTATTTGTTGTAGAGTTTAGAGAGAACAGGAATCAATTCAGGAGCACATTTCCTTAGAATGATGACAGTACTATCAGAAACCAAGGGTCTGAGTTGTATGTATATCACTCTGTAGAGATTCTGTTCTGGATGGAAAAGCAAGCAAAGATACTCTCGGTGAGTAGGGATGGAAGAGAATTTATGAGCAAAGCATTCTGCTTTATCAGCAGTAGATGACAATACTCCAAATGAATTGAAGAGTGTAGGGATTGAGGATTTTCTCTTATTTAACACCCTCTTAGAGAGTCACCCCGAGATTTCAATTTATGAGGGGCTGTATGGTGTCTCATTCTGTTAGCAAACATCAACTTGTCCTTGTTGAGGATATGCTTACACTTATGAGTGTCTGTTTTCATCCAAACTATCATGTTTGTTTAACCAGAAGACGTGATTCCTGTGGGCTATAACAACTGAACGAGCAGGAGTGAACCAAGAAGACTGCAGTTTCACTTGATATTTCTATGATGACACAAAAGCTTTGATGCTAACTTTCCCCCAGGAAGAACCCTTGCTGGCACAATTCTCACTGGAAGATTAAAAATTTCACTCCAAGGAGTGTCGCAAAGAAAATCCGCAAATTAATAACAGTCAGTGTTTTGCTAACAATGTCCTGTCAATAGGGGGTTCTTACCAAGAGCATAGTTGCAAAGCTTGACAAGAGTCCAAAGAGGCGGTAAGGAACTGTAAAGAGGCGTGTCCATCCGAATTACTAGGGAAACTAGTAGGGAAATCTACTATTTGACTGAGTGATTGAGAAATTCAAAGTCTGGATGCCACTGAGATCAATGGGATTAGAATGATTAAGCCACTTGACATGATGAGCAATGAAGTTGCCAGATATAAAGATATTTGCAGACAAGCGTTGAATGAGAGCCAATTCTCTACTGTTAGAAGAAGGAGAATGATGAAGAAAGGGATAACTAATGGTTTATTTAATGAAAAATCATAAGCACATGTAAGAACCATCTGGAGACTCAGACAATTCCCTTGCCATTGAGAAATTTTCCTGAACATACACTGAGGCCATGCATGTACATCCTAGAATCTTTTCATTAAAGAGAAAAAAAAAT